ATAATAATAATAATAATAATAATAATAACAACAATAATAACAATAACTGTATACAAAATTAAAATCATCTGTGTTATGAAAAAAATATTTGTGATGAGCGTTGTTCTGATTGGCCGATTTCTCTCCGATGCGTCTGACGTCAGAACCAGTCATCCGATCCGTCATCATCAGTTTTGACGCAAAAGGGGAAGTTGGGAGGAACCGAGAGGAAGGTATGAGTCTCTGGGCTTTAAAGATTTGTACTGTTAGGTTAATTTTAATGTCTTTTGCTTTGTTTTTGAAATAAGCCATACTGTTGTTCAGTTATTTATGATTTCTTGCTTTTTAACAGTTATTTATGAGGTGTCACGCTCAGTGTGCGCGCGGCCTGTTTTTCTCTTAGCATTAGCACCATTAGCTTTCGGGAACCATTTGAACCGGAGCATCTGAGAAACTGACAGACCCGTTAAAGTACCGCTGAGAACACCATTGGAACACGACTGTCATGGAGTTGACTGTATGTTTACTTGCGTGTCTTAGAAAGACAAAGAAACACGCAATATCGTTAGCACAGTTAGCAGCACAAGCTAACAGGCAGCTTCATATCGTGACATCAAATACGTTTTCCTATTAAATAATTCAGTGATTTTATTTTGTAATCACTCTGAAATTGAAGTTACGTACTAAATTGTACAGTAAACACAATATTAGCCGATCAAAGCGTGCTGCGGTTTGTTTTGAAGAGCCAGATTATGCTATAAGTCAAATAAGTCATGTTTTATCAATAATGTTTATTTAATTTGAGCATATACTATTAATTCTGATGCGAAAGGTAAATAAATTGCTATTTATAATCGCCTTTTAAGTTAAAAGTGTTTAGAAGCAATCACAAGCTCTGATCATTTGTGTCAATAACAGACCTGTGTTATGCACTGTCACTCTGTCTCATATTTTCTGTATCGAATAAGATATAACAGGGTTATATGTAAAGTATGTATAGCCTAGACTTGGTAAACCAGAGAGGCAAAGGGACTTGGGCTGTGTTTGAATAGCATATTACCACACTAATTTCTTGCAGTAAACATACTATGTGCACATCATGGAAGCTTTCTTCTGAATGACCTACTATGTTTTTGTACTTTACAGTACTACAGAAAACACCTGAAATGTATGCGCCAAAAAATGGAAAAACTTGTATGTCCACATTACTTCATTGTGTAGCCTGGTTTAAAAATCAAATTAAGGAATTAGAAAGTAAAAGAAAACACTGGGATATCGATGATGGAAATGTTCTTGTTCTGAACATTTATTGCACATTTTTGCGTATTAAAATATTCTTAACTTTTTTTTTTCTGTGGATATTGTTTATGGACTTTTTCTTATTGTTTCCTTACATTACTACTAAAAACAGTTGGCAGTAAACTAGGGGTTCTTTTTAACCGGTTAACCGTTAACCGACCGTAAGAATTTTTGACGGATTAATACAATCAGTTAAACGGTTTAAGAAATCATTTATTAATTTTTTTCAGTAATTTATCAAAATATTTAAAAAGGTTTGCTGCATGGTTAAAATACGATACGCGTATATAAAAAAAAAGTGTTTCAAAAACAAAAAAAAAACGCAAGTCAAGTATAAGTCGCATTTTATCATTTCATTCAGAAATAGGCCTAATGCCGACACGGAATGTTTACAAACATTATAATAAAACTGGCGTTCCAATATCCACGTAAAACAAAATGTTTTGCATAACATCACGGCGGCACTGTGATAACACTTAACGGCACAGACTTTACTACATATTTGAAAAAAATTCATCCCCGGGAAACAAATGTTAGTATTTTTAACGGTTCACAGACACTTATCCTTTCTAATTTAATTCAATTCTAATTTAAAATAATCTTGTTGGTTAACGGTTAATAATCGGTTAACAAGCGTCGGTTGTCGGTTAGGAAAAATGACCGAAATGAACATCCCTACAGTAAACAATATATACTATGGAAGCCCATTTCTACCACATAAGAAAAAAACATGCACTGATGAATCATAAATATTAGATAAGTCACATTTATAACATTAATTTCAAAATGAGATCAAATGAAAAGTTGAATTTTTGCCATAAATGACTTGTAATTATGAATTTTTCTTTTCTCAATTTCAACTTGTCAGTTGACTCATAATTATGACTCATTATTTTGACATTGTCAATTTCATTTTTTTATTTCATAATTATTACTTTTTATGTCATTGTCTTTTTATCTTATAATTATGATTTATCATTTAATTATGATTTAAGTATGATTTAATTTTTGTCATTTGGCAGAAATGACCATCCACAAATATACAGTATTCAGGATGTAATAGTCTAGTATTCCATTCCCATCATGGCTTTGGTTTTTGTTTGTGGTGTTTAAAGACACAAGACTGATGTCACTGGGTTTTTGGGTCAAAGCACAAACGATATTTAAGGCTTAACACAGTGGCAGTTCATAAACAATGTCTGTTGTCTATGATTTAGTCATGTGACCACATTGGTATGGATGTAATTGATAGCATGACAAACTACACAATAGATGTTCTTTCTATATCAGTGTTACAGTCTCATACATTACAATATATGATCTGAAGATCTGGGTCTCAACATGTAGGATTATGTTTATTACAGAATATGGAAAATGGCATATTGTTAATAATTGTCCACCACTGTATATTCTGCATCTCTTGTTATCCTCATGTTGTATTTGGCTAGCCAAGACACCCCTGATATATTGCATTACGTAATAGTGTTGTTAACTGAGGAGTGATACTAGATTATTAATGTTTGTTCCTGCAGATCTGGGAGTGACCGTTTGAGAAGCACTTCTTGACTTCAGTACAGGGGATTGGGGCTTAAGGTCATGGCAGGAAGAGGTGGAGCAACGAGACCTAACGGGCCGAACACCGGCAACAAAATCTGTCAATTCAAACTAGTGCTCCTGGGAGAGTCCGCTGTGGGGAAGTCAAGTCTAGTCCTTCGCTTTGTAAAAGGACAGTTTCACGAGTTTCAGGAAAGCACAATAGGAGGTAACACATACATTATATTCCCTGCATATAATAACTAAAATCTGATGTGATGCTAATGCACTTATGCATGGGCAGTTTGGCCAAAATTGTATGTTATGGTAATGATATATCACTAGTATAATATAACTAACATTTTTTTTTTTTTGCTGGAAAAATGAAAAAAAAAATTATATATATATATTATATTGATTTTATTTGACTATCACTTTGAAATTGAAGTTACCTACTGATTTGTACAGTAAACACAATATTAGCCAATCAAAGCCTGCAGCAGTTTGTTTTGACAAGTCATGCTTTATCAATAATGTTTATTTAATTTGATATACAGATAGGCAGTATGTTACTGTTATACGGTAATGGTATAACACTAAATATAACTAGTTATCTTTGCCGTGATTTCATTTATGGATGGGCAGTATGACCAAAATCTTATGCTGTAGCAATGATATATCATGATATAACTAGTTATTTTGCTGGAAAAAATAATAAATTAGGTTGTGTATATTAAATAATCATGATTAGCCAATGGTTAACTATGATAACCAATGACTTATTCATTAAATAACCAACTAATATTATAAACTGGATAATTAACTGTAAATTCTGATTTGAAGAGCCACGTTTGTCATTGTAATAGTCATTAGTCAATATATGTAACAACAACAGTAAACAACTAAAAACTTTGTTTTGTGCCTATCAACACCCCTTAACATCTCAGTTGGCTAACACATTTCTACATTTCTACCATTGGTATATGCAGTCATACTGCCCAGCCCTAATTACAAGCAATTACCAGATACTGATGGCAAGATCTGACCAGTCTCTGTCCTCATTCCACTAGCTGCCTTCTTGACTCAGACAGTATGTTTGGATGACACAACAGTGAAGTTTGAGATCTGGGATACAGCTGGCCAGGAGCGTTACCACAGTCTGGCCCCAATGTATTACAGAGGAGCGCAGGCGGCCATAGTGGTGTATGACATTACAAATGAAGTGAGTCCTAACATGCTCTGTTTACTCTGCAGCTTAAATGATGCATCCGATTTTTTGAGTCAAGTTACATTTATTCATAAAGGCACTTTATACAATACAGATTGTTTCAAAGCAGCTTCGCAGTAATAAATGTGAAAATAACATGATGCAACCATGATTACAAAAAATTCAAATTCTGATAGTGTCATCATTCAAAGTCAGTTATGTGTTCGGATTCAGTTCAATAACTGTAAAGATCTACAGAAACAGCTCTACAGAAGACAACAGTGTCGTTATTTAGCTTGAGTCAGTTCGATTCATTTCAGTTCAATTCAGTTTTGAGATTGAACCCAAAACTTCCTCCCAAGTCCAAAAAGAGCAATTATTGAAACTAAGGTGCAAAATGACTGTCTAAAATCCTTTCAGCAAACCTGCAACCTGAGTGTGAATGTGGCAAAGTGTTGTTACTCATTTCACATGCAAAAAAATGTGTTTATATGAATTAAAAAAAAAAAAATCCCATTTAATTTAAGTCAGCGAGAGGGTGAAAAATGTTTTTTTTTTTTAAAAGCCGCTTTGGACCGTGAGAGAAAAATTAACTATAAAAAAAATGATATGTCCCCTTTAAGCACAAACGAGAGAGGTACAGAAAATGCTTTACAGAAATGCATGTTTTCTCTTTTCTTTCAGGAATCATTTGCACGTGCGAAAAACTGGGTGAAAGAGCTTCAGAGGCAAGCCAGTCCAAATATTGTAATAGCTTTGGCTGGAAACAAGGCAGACCTTGCCAACAAGAGAGCGCTGGACTGTCAGGTTAGCGATGTTTGAACAGCCACAGAGGAGCAGACGCTTTCTGTTGGCTTTACAAATGAGATGTGGAACTGTATATAAACAAACAAACATGCCGTGCAGACTTTCAGTCGCTTAGAGCTGTCTGTTTAGTGTCTGAAACCCTGACTTTTTTTTTTTTTTTTTTTTGTACACAGGATGCACAGTCATATGCAGATGACAACAGTTTGCTCTTTATGGAAACGTCGGCAAAGACTTCAATGAATGTGAATGAGATTTTTATGGCCATTGGTAAGTTGTCACCCAGTTTTACTCGCTACTTTTTTGGTAAATAGTTAGACACTGCCATTCAAAAGTTTAGGATCAGTATGATGTTTTTAATGTTTAAAGTCTTTTATGCTTAACAAAAAAGACAGTAAAACCAGTAATATTGTAATATATTATTGCAATTTAAAATAACTTTTTTCTATTTTAATATGTAATTTATTCATGTGATGCAAAGCTGAATTTTCAGCATCATTCCTCCAGTCTTCAGTGTCACATAATCCTTCAGAAATCATTCTAATAAGCTGATATGCTGCTCAAGAAACATTTCTGACTATTGTCAATGTTGAAAATGGTATTGTCATATTATTAATTTTATTAATATCCTTTTAAACATAGACAGAAGTCTGTTGGTTTTAAGTTAGAGGTACAAACATGTAAGCATGAGCCCTGCAGGGCCTACCCTAAATTTTGTACCTGTAATATCTGGTTTCACTCAAGAAAATGTGTCACAGTTTAGAGAGAAAATTGGTTGTGAGTGCCATTTCATGTTAAAGGAGTAGTTCACCAAAAAATGAAAGAAATGCTGAAAATTCTCTCACCCTCAGACCATTCAAAATATAGATAAGTTTGTTTGTTCATCTGAACAGATATGGGGAAATTTAGCATTACATCACTTGCTTACCAGTGGATCCTCTGCAGATGGGTGCCATCAGAATGCGTCTGGAAAGCTGCGTGTTTGTAAGAAACAAATCCATTAAGATGTTTTTAACTACAGACCGCTCCTTCTGGCTAAAATACGAGTCCTCTATCCATAATATTGCTTTTCCTAGTGAAAAAAAATAATTTCGCCTGAATCAGGTGAAGAGCAGGCAAAAGCACGCACATCAATCTCAACTGGGTGCTCGACTAAGAAACAAGTGGAAATTTTTTTTATGTAAAGTCGGCAACACCAAAGCTCCAAAAATATCAAAACATTTATTTAAAAAAAAAAAAACTGTCGCATAGCATATGTGACGTTTCGAGCACGCAGGCTCTTCATCAGACAAATGAACAACACTGATATCCCACTCTTTATAGGCCTACCTCCAGGTGATCAAAGGTCACATGACCGTACCATATTATCATGATAATAATAATACCAAAACAATAACATATCAACCAAGGAGAAAAACATGGAAACAAAAATACAAAAAATAAATAAATCAAAAACATATAAAGCTATGCAAAATACACGAATATAATAATGCGACTAAATTGAGAAATTGGTAACGAGCGCTTTAATGACACAGGATGATAGGACTGTCCGTGTAAAATAGTATTACGGTCAGTTGGTTTACGATACAAAGTCGTTTCAATGCCTGATGCAGTACGAAGAACAAGCACATCCAAAAAATTCATTTTCTCTTGATGAAATTCCATAGTAAATTTCAACGCACTACACTTATTATTAACCAAGCTATGAAACTCTAGTAGCTCAGATTCAGTACCACTCCATACTAAAAAAACATCATCAATGTATCGTTTCCATAGAACAATGTGTCTCAAGAAATCATTCGCCACAGGATTTAACACAAAATGATGTTCAAACAACCCGCAAAATAAAGATGCAAAACTTGGGGCCATCTTGGAACCCATGCTGACTCCTGAGATCTGCAGATAGTAATCTGACCCAAAGAAAAAATAATTATGTGAAAGCACCAATTTTGCCAAGTCACTCAAACATCCAGTGCTTGGAACCTGACAAGGACGTTGATCAAGAAAAAATTTTATTGCCTCTAACCCTCCCTGAAATGGAACATTGGTGTAAAGCGATTCAACATCCATGGTGACTAGAAGGACCGGATAATCAGGTAATGTCACATTATTCATGAGTTCGATAAAATCCATCGTATCTCTAATATAAGAAGGTAAAGACGTGACTAAAGGTTGTAAATGAAAATCAACGAAAGCCGAAATTTTTTCTGTAAGTGACCCAATTGCTGCCACTATGGGTCTCCCAGAAGGGATATCCTTATAAGGTTTGTGATTTTTAGGCAGCGTGTATAGTACCGGTGTGATCGGATGCTCAACACACATGTATTCATATTCATTTTTTGTCAACAAACCTGAATCCACAAACAGTTTTAAAGTATTGTGTACAGATGTTTTGTAATGAGCCAAAGGGTTCATACTCAATTTTTTATAAAAAACTGAATTAGAAAGTGGTCTCTGAATTTCAATTTCATAGTTTTGTCGATCTAAAATAACCACTGCTCCACCTTTATCAGCACTTTGAATAACTATAGACGAATCTTTTTTAAAGTACATAGGTATTGAAGTAGTGAAGTGTCCGCGTCGTGGAGG